AATAATAATAAATAATAATAATTCTTCTGAATCAAAATTAAGATTATTATATTAATCTTAATTGATTATAAGAAACATACTTGTCCTATAAAAATTACAGTATTAAATTGATAGATAGCAAGGTGTTATAGAATAACTGAGGGCATATCAAATAAAATTTTACATTTTAGGCACAAAAATACTATCTTTATAATACATTTAATCTTATTTGTTTTAAAAATAAAATGGCTTCTATAACATCTTCTTTCATGGTGGATTCAAAATAGCTTTTGAATCCACCATGAAGAAAATTGTCCATGAAAGAAGAATCCACCATGAAAGAAAATTGTTCATGAAAGAAGAATTCGCCATGACAGAAAATTGTCCATGAAAGAAGAATCCACCATGAAAAAAGATTGTCCATGAAAGAAGAATCTATCATGAAGATTATCCATGAAAGAGGAATCCACGATGAAAGAAAAGTGTCCATGAAAGAAGAACCCACCCTGAAAGAAAATTGTCCATGAAAGAAGAATCCACCATGAAAAAAGATTGTCCATGAAAGAAGAATCTATCATGAAGATTATCCATGAAAGAGGAATCCACGATGAAAGAAAAGTGTCCATGAAAGAAGAACCCACCCTGAAAGAAAATTGTCCATGAAAGAAGAATCCCCCATGAAAAAAGATTGTCCATGAAAGAAGAATCTATCATGAAGATTATCCATGAAAGAGGAATCCACCATGAAGAAAAGTGTCCATGAAAGAAGAACCCACCCTGAAAGAAAATTGTTCATGAAAGAAGAATTCGCCATGACAGAAAATTGTCCATGAAAGAAGAATCCACCATGAAAAAGATTGTCCATGAAAGAAGAATCTATCATGAAGATTATCCATGAAAGAGGAATCCACCATGAAGAAAATCATGTCCATGAAAGAAGAACCCACCCTGAAAGAAAATTGTTCATGAAAGAAGAATTCACCATGAAAGAAAATTGTCCATGAAAGAAGAATCCACCATGAAAAAAATTGATTGTCCATGAAAAAAGAATCTATCATGAAGATTATCCATGAAAGAGGAATCCACGAAGAAAGAAAAGTGTCCATGAAAGAAGAACCCACCCTGAAAGAAAATTGTTCATGAAAGAAGAATTCGCCATGACGGAAAATTGTCCATGAAAGAAGAATCCACCATAAAGAAGAATTCACAATGACAGAAAATTGTCCATGAAAGAATCATCATGAAAGAAAATTGTCCATGAAAGAAGAAGAAACCCACCATGAAGAAGAATCCATCATGAAAAAAGAATCCACAATGAAAAAAAGAATCCATCATGAAAGTAGAATCCCCAATGAAAGAAGATTATCCACGAAAGGAGAACCCACCATGAAGAAGAAATCCACCATGAAAAACAACTTAGTGCTGAGAAAAGTCTCTTGGCACCTACTTTGTTTGCTAGTAAAGCAATAATTGTATTTTCTACTTGTTGTGTTATTGTAGTAGACAACTGAATGGTATACTAAACAATTGATTTCAGCAATAATTCTCAGAATTATGAAAAAATATATATAATATGGCTTCTATAAGGTCTTTCATGGTGAATTCAAAATAGCTTTTGAATCCACCATGAAAGATGATTGTCCATGAAAGAAGAATCCACCATTAAAGAAAATTATTGTCCATCAAAGAAGAATTCACCTTGAAAGAAAATTGTCAATGGAAGAAGATTCCACCATGAAAGAAGAATCCACCATGAAAGAAGAATCCACCGTGAAGAAGAATACCATGAAAAACAACCCACCATGAAAGTAGAATCCATCATGAAGAAGAATCTACCATGAAAAAGAATCCATAAAGAAGATTTCACCATGAAAGAAGAATCCATCATGAAGAAAATTGTCCATGAAAGAAAATTGTCCAAGAAAGAAGAATTCACCATTAACAAGAAATCCACAATGCAAGAAAATTGTCCATGAAGTAGAAATTCACCATGAAGAAAAATCCGCCGTGAAAGAAAAATCCACCATGAATAAGAAATCCACCATGAAAGAAAACTGTCCATGAAAGAAGAATCTACCATGAAGAAGAAATTCACCATGAAATCCTTCTCAGTGCTGAAAAAAGTCTCTCTGCACCTACTTTGTTGGCTGGTAAAGCAATAATTGTCTTTGCTACTAGTTGTGTTACTGTAGTAGACAACTAAACAATTGATTTCAGCAACAATTCTCAGAATTTTGAAAAAAATAAAAATTACTTTTATAAAAAAAAGGTCATGCGTCGCATCTTATACTGACTGCAGACTACCTCAAAAATGCTCCACTTCCGATTTCCGATTGTTAACCTCTGATAAAATTCTTTTTATCCATTTATTAAAATTAAAAAATAAACCAAATTAAGCACGATAACTACATTATATTGGATTAGCAAAAAAAAAGTACGTTCGTTTTTACCATGTACTTAAACGGTGGAAACTGAAATTACTTTATTGCCAACCTAGTATTATGAAAAAGATGAAAGTTGCTCGAGATGGAATTTCCATTGTTAATAGAGACACAAAAATAAAAAGATAAGGGATTATAAAATGAAAAGAAATGTATAAAATAATGATAAGCTTGGCTGTAAAGTTGTAAAGAATGTATAAAATAATGATAAGCTTGGCTGTAAAGTTGTAAAGAATGTATAAAATAATGATAAGCTTGGCTGTAAAGCTGTAAAGAATGTATAAAATAAGGTAAGGACTTGATTGTCTTCAAGTTGTAAAGAATGTATAAAAATAATGATAAGCTTACTCACACTTTTTATAGATATTTTGAATGTATAAAATAATGATAAGCTTGGCTGTAAAGCTGTAAAGTTTGGTTTTAATTATATGTTCTTTTTATATTAAGGTCTGAAGGTGAGGACTCTGATTGTCTTCATTTGTCTTTAAGGTTATAAGAAATATTTTCTAGAGTTTTAACAAGGTATACTCAATTTTTTTATGATTATAGAAATTTTTCGAATGTAAAATAATTTTTTATACAGATTTATTTCAGCAGCAGCTATTTTCTTTGATACTGTTACATGTGTTTTTGAATTTTTAGTTCAAAGAATTTAAACATTAATTAAACATTTGTATTTAATGAAATTGCTTTTTTTATTTTTCTAGAGTTTTAATGCAGAATTTTCTTTGCAATATGATTAATAGGAAATATTTAGATATAACAGATAATGTTTTTATATAGATATATTTCATAAATTTTATTATGATACTGTTTGCATGTGCTTATTGAATTTTAGTTAAAAGAATTTCTGCTCAGAATTCTTGGAAAAGCAAGATTATGTTTCTTTTCCTTTCCTTCCAATAACTCAATAGATTTCAGTTTATACAACATGAAATTTTCTACCAAGAAATTCTAAATTTTAATTTTCAAATTTTGTCAGTGGTCTGTCGCCAATAGAAAGGCAAATGTGTAGCAGATTGTGGATTATACAAGCTGTACCACAGAGATCTTCTACATTGCACTCACTTTTAAATGTCACAATTTGGACCGTATGGCATCTTGAGATTTCTCTTTTCAAAGACTCACTTTACGGTCTACAGTTTTATGGCGCCCTTTCCTTACTATAGACCAGGGATGGGCAAACTTTTTTGGTCGCGGGCCAAACACCGAAAAAAAAAAGGTTTGGCGGGCCAAGATAAATTTTTCTAAAATTTTAAAAACAATATACAAGTATGTACAATATATGCTCAGCTGAAACATGTGAGGTCTAATTCACCTATATTGGATTCCCATATATCTACTCCCCGTGAAAGAGATAACGCCTGTCGGCGGCAATCTACCGCTGTAACTAACAATTTCCGCTTTTAGCACTTTACCGATTGAAAGCTGTCCGTGCTTGCTATTTCCGTCGATTTATGTTTTGTAGAACAAAAATAGATAAAGTAAAAAGATCACCAGTCCTTTGAAAAAAGGAAGAAAAAAAATATTGAATCAATGTAGAAAAGGAGATGGATATATAATATATATTTCTTTTCATTTGCATCGGACCAGCAATTTAAAATTCTATCCGCGGGCCAGATAGAACCTTCCGGCGGGCCGGAGTTGACCCGCGGGCCGTTGTTTGCCCATCCCTGCTATAGACTCTTTCCTTTTCTCCACACCTAACCTCCCGTAACAAGTGCTGTGTATAAGCATATCAATTAAAAAGGAGGGGGATGGAACATCAGTGGGCCTCGTATATACTACGAACAGCCCACCGACGGGGATTGCGAGAAGGAAAATGCCTTCCGAGAGGACTTTTAGGGGAATTGCCCAAGCGCGTGTCAAATGGGAGAAAAATCCATGTAAACATCCACCAAGAAGCCTGATTGTAGGTACAATGGGGTTTTATATACATAGTCACAATCTCCATCCAGTCTCCTCGTTTCTGAAGGTTACAATAATGCCGCCAGAGAATTTGAACCTCAACCCTCCTGCTCGTTAGCCACTCGGCCACGAGTCGGGTGGAAATAATGAAATAATTGAGTAGATAGTAGTACAAAGCAAAGTCATTTGTTCTAAGAGGCCTGATGGCCAAGTTGCTAGTTCTCTGGCACTCGGTACCACAGGTTTCGGGTTTGAGTTTTTGCGGGTCCATGGATGTTTGGATGTTTTTGCGGGTCCATGGATGTTTGCCCTTTAAACCGTAGGCCCTGGCTTAATAGGACCGTAGAGCTTTGTGGGGGTAGTGTGACTCGCGTCCGTCGCCTACCTTCAAGCTACAAATGCCCCCTGGGTAGTGCTAAATGAATAACAGCGGTGCAGCCCTTGCTTATGGCATAAATATTAACTGTCTCTGTATTGCCATCTGCATTATAACAAAATAGTAACAACAATAATCATAACTGGGCTGCAGTGACTAATTCCTGTCTTGTTCTATTACAGAAAAGCGTTCCAGGGGAACCACGTGGCTACAAAATCATCATAACAAATAAAAAGTCACTATTAATAGTGTGTGAAAATAAGCCATTTATACTTCCACAATAGTAATATAGAGCCAACGGCCATACCGTGGTGAATATACCGGTTCTCGTTAGATCACCGAAGTCAAGCATCATTGGGCCCAGTCAGTACTTGGGTGGCTGGGAACAGCGCGTGCCGTTGGCATTCACAAATTTGGGACCTGAATGGCAGAGTGTCTAGCGCTCTGACGCTCGGTGCCACAGGTTTCGGGTTCGAATCCCGGCGGTGCCATGGATGCTTGTAGTGGTTCGGAATCCACTTTAAGCCGTAGGTCCCAGTCTCCTATGACCGTAAGAGCGTCACGGAGCCAAAGTCAGACTTCTACCTACGGGTGCTCCATCACAACAGAAGCTGCTTCCTTCCCCTTCAACCATGAGTACGTATGGTCTCGTGGGCTTGGCCAGCCAAGTGGGATAAAAAACAACAACACAATAGTAATATAAAAAAACAATTAGAATATATTCATTTCTGATTTTTCTTTCGTGTATCAAATGACTGCAATTATGATTTGAAAGGCCAGTATATGTTGAGTAAATATATGAGTAAAGTATATGTTGAGAAATTAGTGTTCCATCCCACTTGTACGTTACCATTTACATTGAATGAGGTCAAATAAATAGGACCATCGTAAGCACGCGATCCGTTCATTTCTAGTTTTGCGTTCCGTTCATTCTAGAATCGTTCCTTTCTAGTAAATATAACAGAGATTCTGCAATTATTGGCATTTTTACACGATAATTTCAGCCTTCGCGATCTGAGATTATAGGAAGAGATAAATGAATTCTTTTGATCTATAACCATAGAACCATCTATATTTATAAAAGAGGCCGAATCAACTTATTTTCATAGCATTGAATAGAATAATAAACAATCTTTCTATTAAGAATATTGTTTATTATTACATTCAATAAGAAATAATCGTATGTATAGATCAAAAGTGAGTTTCATACCAGTTTTTCATCTGTTTTTATAGATATATATATCTATATCTAGCAGATATAGATATCTATGTCTAGGCAAAAAAATTATGAAACATTCTAATTACTTTTGAATCAAACAATCCATTTTCGGGCTCCGCGCCTGTCTGGTACTACCTGGTGACATCTGGTTCCATCTGGTGGAGTGATTTAGACTATTATTATTCATGGACTATTATCATCATCATTTATACATTTGTATTCAATAACTTTTTTATCATGTTTTCATTTTCATTTTTCTTTTTTTCAATTCCTTCTATTAGCTCACCCTCTCCCTATATATATCTTGTTCAAATTTTCAATCGTTCATAAAATACTTTTTATTCATCCACTCAAGTTCAAATGCATTTTTTTAACTTGTAGCGGATGACACTGGATTTTAATACAGTTTTTTGCAAATATTAATTAATTCATTAAAATTAATTGATTAATTTTAGTTTTTTTTTAGATTTAAGTTGCATATATCTACCAATAGATGGCGCCAGATAAACTTAAAAAAATGAATGAAAAATATTTATAAAGGACTTTCTGCAATATAGAGAAAAAAAAAAAAGAGGAATTGACTTTAAAAATTTTTTTTTTTATATTACTTGTTACTAAATTTTTTTTGAAATGCATTTCCAGAATTATGCTTGATACAAATTGTAACTTTTCATTATCTTTAACAAGCTTCGTCATGGCATGCTATAATATTATACCGGTTCCCTGTTCCTCTACTTCAGTCATCCCCATTCTTTAAGTATGTTTTTTCAACTCCCACTTTCTACATTATCAGCAACTATCCTTTTAACCAAAGTGCTTCTTCTTTCTACCCCTAAAAGACCCCTAACTTCGATAATTGACAAACAACATTGATTGATGTTTTCCCCTAAGTTCTAAGCTCCCCTAAATGCTTCTTCTTACTACCCCTAAAAGACCCCTAACTTCGATAATTGAACAAACAACATTGATTGATGTTTTCCCTAAGTTCTAAGCTCCCTAAATGCTTCTTCTTACTACCCCTAAAAAGACCCCTAACTTCGATAATTGACAAACAACATTGATTGATGTTTTCCCCTAAGTTCTAAGCTCCCCTAAATGCTTCTTCTTACTACCCCTAAAAGACCTAACTTCGATAATTGACAAACAACATTGATTGATGTTTTCCCTTAAGTTCTAAGCTCCCAAATGCTTCTTCTTACTACCCCTAAAAGACCCTAACTTCGATAATTGACAAACAACATTGATTGATGTTTTCCCTAAGTTCTAAGCTCCCTTCTTCTTCTTACTACCCTAAAAGACCCCTAACTTCGATAATTGACAAACAACATTGATTGATGTTTTCCCTAAGTTCTAAGCTCCCTAAATGCTTCTTACTACCCCTAAAACACCCCTAACTTCAATAATTGACAAACAACATTGATTGATGTTTTCCCTAAGTTCTAAGCTCTTAAATGCTTCTTCTTACTACCCCTAAAACCCCTAACTTCGATAATTGACAAACAACATTGATTGATGTTTTCCCCCTAAGTTCTAAGCTCCCTAAGTGCTTCTTCTTACTACCCCTAAAACCCCTAACTTCGATAATTGACAAACAACATTGATTGATGTTTTCCCTAAGTTCTAAGCTCCCCTAAATGCTTCTTCTTTCTACCCTAAAAGACCCCTAACTTCGATAATTGACAAACAACATTGATTGATGTTTTCCCTAAGTTCTAAGCTCCCTAAATGCTTCTTCTTACTACCCCTAAAAGACCCCTAACTTCGATAATTGAACAAACAACATTGATTGATGTTTTCCCTAAGTTCTAAGCTCCCTAAATGCTTCTTCTTACTACCCCTAAAAGACCCCTAACTTCGATAATTGACAAACAACATTGATTGATGTTTTCCCCTAAGTTCTAAGCTCCCCTAAATGCTTCTTCTTACTACCCCTAAAAGACCCCTAACTTCGATAATTGACAAACAACATTGATTGATGTTTTCCCCTAAGTGCTTCTTCTTACTACCCCTAAAAGACCCCTAATAATTGACAAACAACATTGATTGATGTTTTCCCCTAAGTGCTTCTTCTTACTACCCCTAAAACACCCCTAACTTCGATAATTGACAAACAACATTGATTGATGTTTTCCCTAAGTTCTAAGCTCCCTAAATGCTTCTTCTTACTACCCCTAAAAGACCCCTAACTTCGATAATTGACAAACAACATTGATTGATGTTTTCCCTAAGTTCTAAGCTCCCTAAATGCTTCTTCTTACTACCCCTAAAAGACCCTAACTTCGATAATTGACAAACAACATTGATTGATGTTTTCCCTAAGTTCTAAGCTCCCCTAAATGCTTCTTCTTACTACCCCTAAAAGACCCTAACTTCGATAATTGAACAAACAACATTGATTGATGTTTTCACCTAAGTTCTAAGTTCCCCTAAGTGCTTCTTCTTACTACCCCTAAAAGACCCCTAACTTCGATAATTGACAAACAACATTGATTGATGTTTTCCCCTAAGTTCTAAGCTCCCCTAAATGCTTCTTCTTACTACCCCTAAAAGACCCCTAACTTCGATAATTGACAAACAACATTGATTGATGTTTTCCCTATGTTCTAAGCTCCCCAAATGCTTCTTCTTACTACCCCTAAAAGACCCCTAACTTCGATAATTGACAAACAACATTGATTGATGTTTTCCCTAAGTTCTAAGCTCCCTAAATGCTTCTTCTTACTACCCCTAAAAGACCCCTAACTTCGATAATTGAACAAACAACATTGATTGATGTTTTCCCCAAGTTCTAAGCTCCCTAAATGCTTCTTCTTACTACCCCTAAAAGACCCCTAACTTCGATAATTGACAAACAACATTGATTGATGTTTTCCCTAAGTTCTAAGCTCCCCTAAATGCTTCTTCTTACTACCCCTAAAAGACCCCCTAACTTCGATAATTGACAAACAACATTGATTGATGTTTTCCCTAAGTTCTAAGCTCCCCTAAATGCTTCTTCTTACTACCCCTAAAAGACCCCTAACTTCGATAATTGACAAACAACATTGATTGATGTTTTCCCCTAAGTTCTAAGCTCCCCCTAAATGCTTCTTCTTACTACCCTAAAAGACCCCTAACTTCGATAATTGACAAACAACATTGATTGATGTTTTCCCTAAGTTCTAAGCTCCCCTAAATGCTTCTTCTTACTACCCCTAAAAGACCCCTAACTTCGATAATTGACAAACAACATTGATTGATGTTTTCCCTAAGTTCTAAGCTCCCCTAAATGCTTCTTCTTACTACCCCTAAAAGACCCCTAACTTCGATAATTGACAAACAACATTGATTGATGTTTTCCCTAAGTTCTAAGCTCCCCTAAATGCTTCTTCTTACTACCCCTAAAAGACCCCTAACTTCGATAATTGACAAACAACATTGATTGATGTTTTCACCTAAGTTCTAAGTTCCCCTAAATGCTTCTTCTTACTACCCCTAAAAGACCCCTAACTTCGATAATTGAACAAACAACATTGATTGATGTTTTCACCTAAGTTCGGCCATCAGCAAATCGCATATATGCTTTCCTTTCCTTTCTTTTTCTTCTTTATGACATCATATTTCCATCAGTAATTTTCATTGTTTTATGTGGCAGTTTTTAAGCTGGCCAATCATAAAAAATATTTTCATGACAACAAAAACTCCTTCGATACTAGTATTCCAAAATTAAAACCAAGAACGTTTCTTGAAATTCTTTATAAACTACATGTTATTTGTTATATATGAGTAACATAACCTTCCAATTCAGTCTGAAAACCACCTGTTAATTAATTTATTTATTTTTAAAAAAATCTTTCCAAATTTTGTGATATTTAATACTCTATCTGTCCCATAACAAAAGTAGCAGTTGATGAATTTAATTTGTTCCCTAATATTAGTAACAATTGAGGAATTTAATTTGCTCCTTAATAGCAGTAACAATTGAGGAATTTAATTTGCTCCTTAATAGTAGTAACAGCCGATCAATTGAATTTGTCCTCTAATATTAGCAACAATTGATAAACTTAATTTGTTCCCTAATAATAGTAGTAAAAGAAAACAAATATAGAGCGAAACATTTAATATTAAAAAATTTGATTAAATTAAATAATACATTTTAAAAAATTGCTCCAATTTTTTTTATTTTGAGTGTTCAGATGGTG